AAAATTTGCCTTTTCCACAAGGAAAGAAATAAGCGAAAATTGTGTTTGTATATCTGGGGGTTTTGGTAGGGGTGGCAGTAAAAGTATAAAACAATATAAGAAGTGGCTTTGAGCAAGCTGTATCTGCAATGGGGCCTCCACTGTTGGAAAGTAGCTTCTGCTATGGTAGCCCACAAGGTAATGTAAGAGATTGTTGAACTCATTGTGGCAGATGTAGTTATGTCCTTTCTGCCATAAAGTATTGTGGATAAGTTCTTTGCACTTAGCTCTCATGAGATTCTTTAAGTGAGGAAAAGAATGTATCAGGCTGTTTGTTGATACTTTTGTTCTCCAAGAGAGAAGATATCATGTACGAAGGCTCCAAATTTATGTCTCGTCACTGAGTTCAAACGCTTCTGGTACTTTTCTTTTTTATACATCACCCTCCATGGGACAAAACGAACCAGAACAAGAATGGAGCATATTTACATTTCACCGCATGCTAACATGCAGTTTCCCTCAATTTCTAGGGTTAAGAAACTGTTTCTAGATCTAACAATCTTGCATCTCTGTTTCTGAATTTCTTCCTTCCAGCCTCCAGATGATTTCAATGAGCTATGACTCCTCTGCTAGTCGGCATATGTTGAAAAGCCTTGTCTTGAACTTTGCATAATGCAGGTTTCAAACTAAAGAAAATCAAGGCGAGCTATAATGCAAAGTAATTGGTGTACTTCGTAAGGGGAATAACAGCTGGATGGGAAATTGTATAGCGAAAATGGATAACTAGAATTTGTGTGGAAGGAACCCATAAAGATCTTATGGCTTTGATGCCAAATGATAGAGCTCAAGATAGGCAGAGAGAATTAAGGAAAATCTCTATTAAATTATGAAATCAGGATATAACTCCATAAAATAATAATGAAGGAAACTCTTTATGAGAATATGGGTAAGAATCTTAGACTCGTACAACTAACAAAGCACAAGGAGAATCAAATATTGTATTAATCAGATCATACTTTTTACATATAATAAGAGTCAATATTTCTAGACAGGAAAATAACAATGCTACCTAAATTTTAGGTCCACTGACAATGGCTCCCTAAATTTTAAGATGGCTAACAATGTCTCCCTAAATTTTAGGTCCCCTAGCACATGATTTAGGGAATTAACCAACCTAAACATACTTAGGGTGTTTTTGGTGAGCAAACAAGATATGGGTTTTGATATCTCCAGATATCAGAATTCTTTTTTGGTGTTTAGTGAAGCCAAAAAAGACATCGAATTCGATATCTCCAGATATCATAAATCCTTCAAATAGAGGGTTACGATATCTCCCGAATTTGGGAGATATCAATATGGGGGTTTGATATCTCTCTCAACTATTAATCATTCTCCGTCACCGCTACCATTGTCACCGCCAACCACACCCGTTGCCGGTCACCCCCGCTTATCACTAATTAAATCATAATTTTAAATCTCTCAAAACAAATTCGTTTCAGATTTCAAAACTCATATCATTTCTTCTAGGTTTCATAACTCATATCTTATCATATCTTCAAAATTCACCAAACGGGTCCTTAATAAAATAAATATAACAATTGACTTTTAATCAATAATATTAAAAGATATCATATCTCCTAAACTGGTTCTCTATCAATATTCAATTCATTTGACTTTTAAATCAGTATTACCACTGACACTATTATAGCAGTACAAATTAGTTTCGATGATACAAATTAATTTCTTCTGTTGGCATAAAAGCATTTATTTTGACATATAACAGGTTTTCCTTCCATAGTGAGTGTCAGAACACTGAAACTTTCACAAAGAGATCAGTAGAGGAGCAGCCAACAGAAGGTCATGGTAGTCAAGGAGGATAATGTTACAGCTTAATAGGTTTAAAAATGATCCTTGAACCCTAAAAGGCCAAAATATAAAAATTGTTACAAGTTGCTGCTAGTTTTACAGAAAGCGCCAACTGTTGACACACAAGCACACAGTTTTAACTTCTAAAAGAAGATATGACATACCAGTACCCAGTCCGACCCTCCCTTCATCTGTCACTTGGCGATAGTATAATTTCTGCCATGCTGACATGTCGCATTTCAGGATAACCTGTGTTTTCCCAGGAAGAAACTTCTCCACTTCATCTTTCTTCCTTCGCAATATGAATGGCCTAATAACCTGGGAATATGAAAATAAAGAAGAAACATATAAGGCACATTGAAGCACAGTGTAAGCTTAAAATGTTTAAAAAAAGACGGAGCAGAATGTAACAATATAAGTGCAATGTGAGAACCTACATGGTGCAAGCGGCGAATAATCAAAAGCTCTTCTTCATCTGTTAGAGTGATATCACATTTATCCGAGAAGGGTGCATTAAACCAATCCTCGAAGTTCTCCACAGAATTAAATATGTTTGGTAGGAGAAAATTAAGAAGTGACCATAGTTCTTGTAAGCTATTTTGAATTGGGGTACCAGTCAATAGAAGTCTCCGCCGGATTCGATAGCTGCACAAATTACAAATTCCATTCACAAT